AGAGTGTGGAGGAAATCCTTGGTGAGTGAAGCCAAGGTAGAGAACTAGGCTCCAGGTGGTTGGACCGAACCTCTATAAAATCATTGTGCAAGCTCTTCTTCTCCACTCTCTCTTTAATTTTTGTTTGGTGGTTGCAAAGAGGTGAAAATTCTCCAACTCCAATTCACCCCCCCTCTTGGAGTGCATTGAGTCAACACCTACTTATTGCTAGACTCATCCTTATTAGCATCATCTTCACTCTCTTCCTTTTGGTTGCTAGCCTTGAAAGCAACATTCTCCTTCTTCTTCTCAACTACTTCAACTCCACCATCAACTTGAACTTCTATCTCATATGTCATCAATTTTCCAATGAGATCTTCAAGCTTGAGGGTGTTGAGATCCTTAGACTCTTCAATTACGGTCTTCTTGGCTTCCCAATTTTTGGCTACCCAATTCTTGGGCAAGCTTCTAAGAACCTTCCTCACTACTTCTTGAGAAGGATAGACTTTATCAAGAGCCTTGAGATTGGTGACTATATCATTCAATCTTGTATACATATCTTGAATGCTCTCCTCTAGTTTCATCTTGAAAAGCTCATACATGTAAATGAGTCTATTGATTTTTGACTCCTTTACTTGGCTTGTTCCTTCATGTGTTACCTCCAACATGTCCCACATCGCCTTGGCCGTATCACATCCGGATACTCTATGGAATTCCGTTGGATTGAAAGCACATTGAAGCATATTGATTGCTTTATTGTTGATCATGATCTTCTCCAAGTCTTCATCATTCCAATCAATCTCTTCCTTTGGCACCTCTCTTTCTCCAACAATTTTCATGGGTACATATGGACCTTTCATAGTCACAACCCATGCCTTGGGCACATTTGCAAGCATGAAGAGCTTCATCCTATTCTTCCAATAATTATAATTAGTACCATCAAAGAAAGGAGGCTTAGTGGTAGACAAACCTTCAAGTGGTTGAGAAGATAGAAATTGAGCCATTACCGATCAACTCCTAGGTGGTTAAACCTTCAAATTGGAGCCCTTGCTCTGATACCAATTGTTGACTCAATGCATTCCAAGAGGAGTGGTGAATTGGAGTTGGAGAATTTTCACCTCTTTGCAACCACCAAACAAAAATTAAAGAGAGAGTGGAGAAGAAGAACTTGCACAATGATTTTATAGAGGTTCGGTCCAACCACTTAGAGCCTAGTCCTCTACCTTGGCTTCACTCACCAAGGATTTCATCCACACTCTCCATTAACAAAAACAATGGTGGCTTAAAGGAGCCACTCAATCCTTTACAAGAAGAAAGGTGTTTCTCTCAAATCTCACCCCTTTACACTTAAACCCCAAAGATCCTCTCTACAGATCACTCACTAATAGCACAATAAGAGGATTACAAACAAAGATCTCTCAAAGATCAAAAACTCAAGTTAAAGCTCATGTAAGTAGGTAAAGATATTCAATACAATGCTCTCTAAACTTCTTCTTATCTGTTACCAACCATATTTATAGCCCCTTGCTCTAAAATAGTCGTTTCTAGCCGTTGGGGGTCATTAAATGCTCTGCAGGATGCAAAGTGCGAGTTGCAGAATTGTCAGAAGAGCCGGCTTAACTTCCTAGAGTCGGCTCTGTACAGCCGGCTCACCATTTCTGCAGCCTGCTTTGCGGGATTCCTGCACATTCTGTTTTTCTCGAGAGCCGGCTGCAAGACTTTGAGCTGGCTTTGGAACTCCGACTTTAAATACATTAAATATTCTTTAAAAGAGTCGACCGATGTGCATTAAATACGCCCTCAGAGCCGGCTATAAAGTTGGAGCAGGCTTTGCTTCCATTTTTCGCACGCGCCAACACAGTAGTTGAATTTTTGGCCCGTAGAGTCGGCTCAACAAAATCTGCAGCCAGCTCTCTGCACTTTTGCTTCCCAGAGCCGGCTGCAATTTTCATAAGCCAATTCTCTGCACATTTTTACCCTTTGAGCCCTTTTTAATGCAATCTCATTTTGCTTACTTTGCAGTATATTAGCAATTTAACTACACACTTAAATAAATCAATTAGTCACTCAAATGTTTTTTGTAATCATCAAAATCATAGGTACAACACTTT